TAGTAGTAGTAGTAGTAGTAGTAGTAGTAGTAGTAGTAGTAGTAGTAATAATAGTAGTAGTAGTAGTAGTAGTAGTAGTAGTAGTAATAATAGTAGTAGTAGTAGTAATAATAATAATGACAATAATAATAGTAATAATAATAATAATAATAATAATAATAATAATAATAACAACAACAATAATAATAATAATACAATAATTTATTAATTATCCAGTAGGCAACAAGGCAACGACTGGACTTTCGAGCTTTTTTATTTTACTTCCTGTTCTTTCTTCTTCGTTTACTTTCATTTAAATTGATTGCATATAAAAAGTTTCAATTTTGATTTTGCGTCTGTCGCTTAGTGAACGGTTTTCGCCAGTATTTTTATTTTTTCTTTTTTTCTTCATTATTTTTTTCAAATTACACACTCATGCTCGCATATCGTATGTATACACATATTCACACACACGCACACACACATGTATGTTTTCTTTTTCCTCTTTTTCAAAAGTATATCATTTCTTACATATTTGCTTGTTTTATATTACAGCAAAATTGCTGTGAAATAACGACATTATATCGGCACTGAGAAAAATGTTAGCGATTTTATTGCTATTACAATACAACATAATAGTTACCAAATAAACACTGTATTATTGGTAACGAATTAATAACAATAATTCTTTGAAATTAATGCAATAATATATGCGTAATGAAAATAACGATATAAAATTCGCATTATTTTTATTTTTTCAAAATTTTATCGATTTTATATATAAATTGATAAGAAAAATTTACTTCATAAAACAAACAATAGAAATATATATAAATAATTTAATAATTAATTTTAATAACATCATTGGTATATATAAATGAACTTTTAAGAAATTTAAGATAACTCAGGACATTCAATATAATGAACATTACAGTAAAATATAATAGATCATATAAACAAGTAATTCGCACCAGTGAATTCAATTAAAAATATATCATTAATATATTCCTTGTTCACCAATAAGAGCAATACTTCTTGTACTTTTGTATATATACATATTACATATATATAAATTTTAATGCGAAAAATTACGAATTTGAAGACATCGTTGCCTTGCTATACAAAAGTATCGTGTATTATAAATTAATTGTTCTATCTAAATATTTATATATTATATATACGTATACATATAATTATTAATCATGATTATTTTCGTTACAGCTTCACGCTAACAATTTTCTCGTAGCACATTTTCCAATAATAAATCTAAATTGTAGCAAACAAATCATTATCTTTAGTGTTTTGCTACAATATCTACAATCATGTTACAATTCCATAATGGTGATGATAATGGTGATGATGATGATGATTAATAATAATAATAAAAAATCATAATTAATAATAATAATAATAATAATAATAATAATAATAATAATAAAGAAAACAAAACAAAATGCTTGGAAAGATTAAAACACGACAAAAGAAACGCATGAATATTACGAAATACTACATGTTTCAAGCATTCAACAGATTGCATTCAATAAAAGCAGTACACTGGATTGTTAATGTTATTTAATCACGGAAGCACGACATGGATACTTAAAGGATGTTTGATGTTATTTCATGTATGTTAAATTTGATAAGGAACACAGTCTTTGTCGGAAAAAATATTAATTTGATTTTTTCCACATCTGTTTTTTCAAACTATCAAAGTTTTACAATATTATAGTGATGTTTCCTATATTTGAATCTTGCTATCATAGTATTAAAGATAAAACATTTTTGATAAAAAAAAAAGAAAAGGGGACAAGATGAAGAACTTAGAAATAATTTTTCATGATTTTTTCACATGACTGTAATCGCATTGTAATCGCTCGTATATACTTTAAATTTATCACTCTTTTCAGGCAGGAAATGAGAACATTATAAAAGAGATTTTAAGTAAACTTATCGAATATCGATTGATATATATAATATATATATATATATATATATATTATATATATATATGTTCCTCTGATTTTCTGTGTTTTTCGCACATATTTCCTGAAAAGGTACTTTATAATTTGTAGAGTCATTTTGATGAGCATTATATAAATGAAAAATGAAATATTTTTTATATTATAGAATTGTAAATATTATTATTTATACGTTTCTTTGAATTAATATTATATTGAAAATTTTTAAAAATTAATGACCATTTCTTATAATCTCCAATTCTCTTTTTTGGTAAATTTATAAATTAATGAATGAAATGGAAAAGATATGATTATAGCATAACTTCATTTTTAGTTATAATGGCGAGGTACATTTACTAAGTACAAATATTTCATAACATGCCGTTTTTTTTAAATATAATAATAAACATAAATATAATAATACAAATAATGTCTAGATATAAACATTCAACATTTTTTATATAATGTTGAGATAAGTTTATATATTTTGGATTAAATAATAAATATTAAAATCTTATATAAAACTATCATGAAAATCAATATAATATTTAATTTTTATTTATTGCATATATTTAGTGTATAATGTTATTTTTGTATTAGGTGCTTTAAAATCTGATAGAAAACAATATATGTCAATTAGTTACATAATCACATAGTCACATAATATATAACATAATATGTAACAAAAAAATTGAAAAAATTTAGTTGGAAGCCATTTAATATTATGCAACATGCAGCATTATGCAATATTATGCATTTAAGATTTATTATTATGTAACTTTATTATTTCTGTATACCTTAGCCCTTTTTTTTATGAAATAAAATCTTACAACCATAATAGTTTATTTTTTTTATCAATATTAATAGTAATATAATATGAAATAAGTAATAAAAAATAATAGAAGAATAATAAAATAATAGAATTCATATCTATCAATAAATTAAAACTAAAAAAAATTATTTCCAAATCATAAATGTATAATATTATTAAATTCTAGTTTAATGATTAATTATTTTAAAATATAACAACAAATTTATTTTAAAATTTATTAACTCTTTTTTATAACTAATTTTTTTCTCTTAAAAGATGAATAAAACTCTTTGTTTTTATTATCAATATCTTATTTTTCTTAATTTAAAATATAGAACAAATATTGCGCGAAATTTCAAAAGAAAGACTAATGTGTGACTATAAATTTTTATATTATATTATGTGATAAATATATCATATGAAAATATATCGATACTAGAAAGAGATAAAAGCTAATAAGCACATATAATATATATAAATAAAAATTTTATTTATAAACATTATAAAACTATATCTATTTAAGTTGTTTGCTTTTTTTCTAAATTTTATTTTGAAAAATATAATATGATAAATAATATAATAAAATATGATATTTGAAACTAAGTAATGACAATATAATAAAATTTGGTTTAATCTATTATTAATATAATAAAATCTGATTTAATATATCATTAATAATGATGAATATATTACCAACAATACAAATAAAATAAAAAAGCATGAATAACGATAGTTTGGATATAAAAGTGTAATTCTAATTGTACATTTCTTATGCACGAATTAAGCGTCAAAATTGTTGACTATTAATAAGTGTATTTACAAGTAAATATATATTTTTTTATGTTTATCCATTTATGGATTACATCTAAATGATTCTAATTTATTAATGATATTGTAATGATTAATATAATGCTTCATCAATGCAATTGTTTGAAAAAAATGATATGCACTGATATAATATTCAAATGTATATTGTTTTTTTTTATCTTATAAAATTTCTATTGCATTATTTTTTCTTTGTTCTTTGGAATAGAATTATAATATCATTAAAATAATAAGAATAAAATATCATACTTTTTTCATTTTTTTCATAGTTTTCATTTAATTTAAATTAACTAATGTTGTCAGATTTGATATTTCATTTTTTTAATTATTTTATAAAAAAATGGAAAAAATAATTCGTTTTGCGTATACATTATTTTTTCACATATTTATATTTTAATCTTTTATGTTCACTTATAAAAAAGTTTTATTGATTTCATGATAATGAAGTCAAATATACAAGTTTTCAATGAACTTCTCTAATTTTAATATTAAATATTAATATTAAATAGTTAAGAAAATTTTTATATTTTTGTAAATATTTAGAATTATCAGCCTCATAAAATATACATAAGAATTATTTTCAATATATGACAATCATAAAAAAAGAAAAACTCATTGAAGTTTCACACTAGCATAATGTTGTTAAAAACAATGCAAAATTATGATAAATAATCGGAATATTCAAAAGAAAAAATTATAATGGCTCATCAAAAGACTCTAGGTAATATGATTTTTTTTTCTATATTATACTTTAAATTATTTTTTTATGCAAATAATTTTTGGATGTATTTTACACAAATTTAAATGATATACAACTGTAAATATATTCATCAAATTTTATGTTTCATGTATTGTTATCATTGCCATTTACTCTTTTTCACAAGTAAAAAATATAACATTTTTTTTCAATTTAATTAAAAAAAATATCTTGTTATATAACCAATTAGTATATAACTAATTAATATTTCTAAACTTTTTATCAACTATACCTTAACAATTAGATAAATAAAATCAGTTCATTGTTTTTGATATACTGCGAACAATCATATTATATCATTATTTCTCAGAAAAAAGTACTGAAATCAACAAAGAAAGTAGTGATTTATGTTTTATCGAAACAATTAATATCTAGTTCAATTTTTCATCTCTTTTTGGCAATTTTTTTATAAATGTTTAATTATATATCCAGCATTTAATGAGTCATACCTGGTTGTCCATTGCTACATAACAAGTAAGCAATGTGGAATATTCCAATTAAAATTCTCCTCAGAGTGCATTGAGCGATGACAATACTGACTATTTGGCTAGAATTTAGGTAGGGCTAGGAAGCACCAAGTGAACCTGACCCTGGGCTTGGACTATTTTGTACAGCCGAAGGTACTTGATTATAAGGATGATTACTATTGCACAAGACTGTGTAAATATTCTCCACATTACTAAGCTTTTCAAAAAATGGAATTAAATCTAATAATTCTGAATCTGTCATATCATCAAACCATGATGCCACTGGTACCTAAAAATAACTTATTTTATAATTTATATCTCTATGTATTTTTTTCTTCTTTGCATGTGTGTATATTTCTTCTATTAAAACTTACTGCATTATCTGGATGGAAAATGTAACTGGCAGGACTATTATCAACAATAATGATTTGTTGTAAATCCCGTCCTAGTTTATTTAAATCTTTAACATAATTTCCTCTGTGATAAACACAAGATTCTCTAAACAGTCTTGCTCTAAATACGCCCCATCTGTCAAGCAAATCTGCTACTGGATCAGCATACTGTAAATACCAGAAATTTTGAATATTCAAATAAAACTCTCTTCTTAAAACTGATAGTAATAAACAATGTTTACATAATATACCTTAGCCAAACTTGCAGTGAACAATACACACTCGTAAAGTTCACCCATTCTCTGTAAGAATTCATCCACATAAGGCCTCTTTAAAACATATACTTGATGTACTGTCCCATCAATTTCTACAGGAACAACAAAATCGGCATTGTTGATTGGTTTGAAAGAACTATGCACTAGTGTTTCATCCAAATCAATCACCATGCACTTCTTGTGCATATCCTGATGTCTGACAGGTGGGAGAAGGAACCTTGGGGATCCAGTCCTCAGGGATGGAGAACCATGTCCATCACCTTGCAATGAACTTGTTTTTGAACTTTTTGAACTACTTCCACGTCCTCTACCAAGACAACAAAGTAGAGACCGCAGAAGTCCACGCCCTCTTGGCTTTTTGCCACTGGCTGGATTGTTGTTGGCCACTTCATTTTCTTGTGGTAATTGAGCTACATTTGGAAGAATAAAATTTGTATTGAAATAATAAATTTTATGAATATACATATGCATATATATATATATATATATATATATCAAAAAAATGCATTATATGAAAAAAAATTATTAAAATTTATTAAAATTATATCAAAATATAAATATATTTACACAAAAATATTGGAGAAATAAAAATAATTTTTTTTTATAATTAATATTAATTAACTAAGGAGATGCATATGAAAATTTATTTTTTGTTTAATTTACAAAATGAATTATTAGAAATTACTATTAGCAAAAAATATTTATATAATAATATCTATATGTTATTTAAAAATTTTGAAGAGAAGAATATTTGATTTTAATTGCATTATTTAAATCATTCATTCAATATCAAGCATCATATAACAAAATATAATAAATAGTTTAAAACGGCGGCAAGGTAGGATACTACACGATGAAATAAGTTAAACGCGAAACTTAAATGAAAGAAAAGAGGGGAGAAGGATGATTTGAAGAGGAGAGGAGAGGCAAAACGAGGCGAGGCCAGACAAAAACGAGGGCGAGAGGAAAAGAGACGTCGAAATGAAGCATAGACGAATAACAGGAGAGGAGTAAGAGGTGACGTTAGGTGAGGTAAGGTGAGGAGTGCGGTGCAGTCCCGTAACAGGTGCAGATTCCATCCAGCATCTGGAAGAAAAACGTAAAAAAAAATGTAAGGCGGCAAGCTGTATTCACAGCAGACACCTACCTTTCCCATTATTAAACTGGCCTAGCTCGTCATCCCGCGACACTTGCGTGATAATGGACGATGCGTCCATTTAAACATTTGTTGAGAGTCCCTGCGTGTCTGATCGTGAATTCCGTTAATGCGCGCGCGCGACAATATACATACATACATATACAATACACGCGCGCACAATCTTGAGAATGAGAAAACATATACGCGCGGTAGCACGTACACGCACTAACTCAGTCACGATATACGAAATTTCTCCCTCCAAACGCTGTCGCGGCCGCCGCCGCCACCACCGCCACCACCTCCACTGTCTCCTTCACTACCACTGCTGTTGCTGTTGCCGCCGCCACCACCACCTTCACTGTTTCTACCACCGCCACTACCTTTGCGAAGATCACTACAACTTGGCGAACGGAGACGCATAGGCGCAGGCACGGGCACGAGTACGCACACGCACCCACACGATGTTTTTAACACCACAGATATTTATTTCAAGATCGGCACAGGATTTATTTCGATTTCAAAAACGAATACCTTGTTTATATATACATATAAAATTATATTCAGCAAAATTAAATTATATTTAACACTGTATGGAAGCAATCGATTGGTTTTTTGAATATAAACGTAACAGGGGAAAGTTAATCCAATTCTTTGTTGTCTTCATTCCAAGGGAGCACGTATTGCACGTATGCTACGTATACATGCATGTACGCTCTCTCTTTTACGCGCCACACCTATATCGTTGCGCAGTTCATTACGATTCGACATTTGTCACACACGTTATATTTTTTAAATATTTTTTTGTATCCGATGATAATATTCTTCGATGCACATTAAACATTAATCTTTCAATAATAAATTTGATATTATTATTTAAAATAATCAATGTATATAGTTCCTGAAATCAGTAATAATAATGATTTGCAAATGTTTTGTAACAATTATATTATACACTTAACACACACAATATTAAACAATGTATATTTTTCACAACATTTACTGTAGCTATAATTTTATCCTTTCAACGGAAACAACATTATGGACCTGCGCTACAGAGGTTTTTGATGTTACAATGTTTTGCTAGGTCTTGTATTTCATGCGATTATCGCGTCTTCTTGCGGCTTTTAGTTAAACTATACATATGACCGTTGCGCAGTGTTTAAACTCAAATATTAAAACTATAAAAGAAAAATAAAAGGATTTTTGTTAATTCTTTTTAAAATTTTGTTAATATGATTCATGTTAAATAAATATATATTTTAATGAAAATATATATGTAGTTTAGAATTTAATTTAAATAAAACCACTTTGTTTAATTCTAATATTTTTAGTCTATTTAATATTAAATTATGTGTATAATATTTAGGTCATATTTTTTATAACATAAATACGGGAAAAAATTTATTTATTATAATTAACAATGGTATAACTACATTTAAATATTTATTTTTATTTTGAAGTTTTACTTGTATTGCATATTTATTTAATATGTTCTATATTAACATAATATTTGGTCTTATATTTTAACTTATCATACAATAATAACATATTCAATGTTTAAATAACTTTAATCATTAATTATTATGAATTGAGCATGAATTTTTGCATAAAATATGTAATGTTACGTAATATTGTATATATATCATATAATATTTAAGTTTATTAATTATAAATCATTTCTAATAATATCTAATATAATAATCTAATAATATCTAATAATATTTATATGAATCCTAATGCTTTAAAATGGAAGACCAAGGTAATTTGTGCCCAGATAATATATTTTACTTTAAATAAAATGTAATTTTTTTTATGAAATTTTGTTATATATTATATAAATGTATAAATATTGATATAAATGATTTTTTTTACGAAGTTTTGTTGTATATCATATAAATGTATAAATATTGATATAAAATTTTATTCTTCATTTTAATTTATTGTATATATATATATTCTCTATTAATATATATATGTGTGTATATATATATATATTTTAAAATCT